TGAAGAGCAGAGCGGCGGCGCTGGAGGAGGCGGAGGGCCGCGTCGCGGCGCTCGCCGCGCAGCTGCCCGAGATGGAGCGCGAGCGGGCGCAGCTGGAGGCGGAAAGGGAGGCGTGGGCCAGCGGGGCTGCGAGTCGGGTCCAGGCGGAGCGTCTGGCCGTCGACCTCCAGCGCCGGACGGAGGAGCTGGAGGTGAGTGTCTGAGATGGAGAGGGGTGGAAAGGAGGGAGGCATGCTGAGAGCATGGTGCCATGCATCATTCCGTTCTTTTTCCATACGCACCCAGGCAAGGGAGTGGGCCCTGCAGCGACAAAGCGCGGGACTGGAGGCCATGCGTCGCGAGGCAGGGGACGCCCGGGACCGGGCGGAGACGGCGGTGCGTGAAGCTGCGGATAAGCTGGGGGACGCCCAGCGCGATGCAGCTGCGGCGGCCCAGAGGCTGAAGGCGGTGAGCTGAGAGGCTATTGAGTGGCGGAATGATGACCCGTGCGTGTCCCTGGCCTAGGACGCGAGCATGCCAGGGACACACTCGCTCACATGTCCAATCTTCCCATCCCGCCCCTGGCAGGCGGAGGCGACAAGGGCTGAGCTGGAGGCTGATAGGGTTGCTCTGGAAGCCAGCCGGGAGCAGGTCAGCAAGCTGCAGGTATGGTAGAACGGCTGAGAAAGCTTGGCGAGGAGGTCAACGGGATGCAGTTGCGATGAGGGTGTGAGGGTAGGTCAAACGCCGCGAAAGTCAGAAATCTTGTGAGAACGAACTGGCAAGATACTATTGTCCCCAAACTTGCCGCTGCGACATTCTTGGTGCTTGCTTGGCTGGAAATCATTTCCCTGTTGATTGCAACATCCTACTCTCGGCCCTTGCCCAGGCCGAGCTAGAGGCCAGGACCCGGAACCTGGTCCTACGCGAGTCTGAGCTGAGGGCTTTGGAGGTGGGCTTTGCAGGGGGTGGTGACAAGGGGGAACTGGCAGGGCCGCCAACCTATGCATGGCCAGGGCACTCAGGCACGAGGCTGAGCATCGCACTGAACAAGGAGCTCCTCCCTTGACGATTTCTCCAAAGACAAGGCTAATATGCGCTGTAGCAACCGCCCTATGGAGGGAAGTGCACCCACGTCTCCCTCACCAACCAACGCGCAGCTGGAGGGGAAGCACCTGCGTGGCCGCGAGGACCTCGCCCAGGCAGAGGAGCGGCGCCTGGCGGCACTTGCATCGAGGCTGGCGGACCAGCAGGAGGAGCTGGCGCGGGAGGGCGCCGCCCAGCGCGCCCAGCGCGCCGAGCTCGAGCAGCGACAGCGCCGAATCGAGGCCGAGGCGGCGAGCGCCGCCGCCGCTGCCGCGACCGCCGAGGCGGCGCACCAGGCCGCAGCTCAGGAGGCCGCGGCCGAGCTTGCGGCGCTGGAGGAGCGCCGTGCGGCTGCGGAGGCCGCCGAGAGGGCGAGCGCGAGCGTGGCCGGGAAGGCGGCAGCCAGGGAGCGTCGCGCCCAGGCCGCCGAGGAAGGCCTCAGCCAGCTGCAGGTGCGGGGAGGCGCAGGCTGGGTTGTGCTGAGCGCTGGAGGGGTGATATCCTGCCGACACGAGCTGGGGAGGTCACAGGCCCCATGCAGAGCATGGTGCATTCACCGAGCAAGGCAGAGGCCTGTCGCTACGCTTGCCCTCCAAGGAGGCCTCCACAGCCAGTCTAGACCAAAAAAGGGAGGTGTCTGACCATCACCCCATCCACAGGAGGCATACCGCCAACTGGATGCACGGGAGCGGGAGGTCTTCGAAGCCGCCCAGGCGCTGGAGGCGGCTCAGGAGGCTGCCGCCTCGGACATTCAGGCCGCCGAGCTGGCACGCCGCGTGGCGGCGCAGGAGAGGGCCAGGCTGGATCGCCTGAGGACGCAACTGGAGGAAGAAAGGGCCTCCCTGGCGCATCAGGCGCAGCGTCTGGAGAGGCTTGAGCAGGTTCGTTGGGACGATTCATGGGCGGCCTCCTGTAGGTGGGGCCGCAGGAGGGCAGGCGTGTGAGTGCTGCTCCAAGCAAATCACCACGCCCTGTTTCCCCGTCCTCCACTCGCTCGCGCAGCATGCGGCCGAGCTGGAGGGCAGGGAGGCGGCGGTCGCTGCGGCTGAGAGGCGGCTGGCCGAGCGCGAGGAGGGCGAGGCGCAGGTCGCGGCATCGGCGGCGCGGGAGGCGGAGAGCGCGGCGCGGGACAGGGTGAGCCTGCGTGGGTGTTGGTTGAGGGGGTGAATGGGTCCAATCTTGGCGCTGGGCCGACGCTGCCTGGCTTCAGGCAGTGTCTGATACTGCACCCCTACAGGCCCTGGAATGACCAGTCCCAGACACGATCCAAACATCCAAACTCCCTGTCCCTCAGGTGACGGCGGCGGCCGCCGAGGCCGACGCGCTCCTGTGCTCCGCCCAGCACGCCTCCCGCGAAACGGAGCGGGAGGCGGCGGCGCTGATGCAGCGGGCGCAGGTTGAGCTGGGCAGGGTTTTGGGGGAAGCGGGTGGCGAGGTGCAAGGGGGCCCGAGGCCCAGCCTCTCGCCTCGGTGCGAGGACGGGCCATTGGCCGGGCCCTGTCTGGAGGGAATCCTGTTTTGCTCGGCTCTTTGCTCACCTGGCTCCTACACACACACTCACACACACACACTCACACCCAAAACCCTATGCACAGCGGGAGATGCGCGCCGCACGAGAACAGGCGACGGCGGCCGAGTTGCTGCGTGCCGACCTGGAGACCCGGCGTGCCTCCCTCGAGCAGGCCTCGGCGGTGACGGCCCGGAGCGAGGAGCGGGTGCGGGAACGGGAAAAGCGTGTGGCCGAGCTGGAGGAGGCCTTGGCCCGCCGAGACGCCGCCCTGGCGTCTGCCGAGGCCCGGGTGGCGGCGCTGACTCAGCGCCTGGAGGCCCAGCTTGCCCCCGATGCGCCGCCAGGGCGCCTCCGCACAAACACGGTGAACCATCCTAGCCCTGGTCACCGACTTTCCATGGACACTCACCCAGGACCAGGGGCGCCACACATCGGCCGGCGGGCGTCCCCGGGTCCTGGCCCCCAGGCCCTGCCGTTGCCGAGGCAGGCCACACCCCCGCGGGGCAGCAACCCCATCGCCGCCGAGGCGGGTGCCGCGCAATCTTTGGTGCCGCAGCAGCTGCAGGGCATCCTGGTCAGCATCCAGAGGGGCGGGGACCGCCTGACCCGGCTGCAGGGCATTCTGCAGTCCATGGGCCCCGCCGCCCCCGCGGCCGTGCGCTCCCTGCAGCAGTGTCTGGAGGCCATGCGCGAGAGGGCTGCGGGACTGCGGTCTGGCTCGCCGGGCAGCGGTGAGGGCGTGAGGGCCCTGGGTGCGGACTATGCGGAGTGGGAGCAGGAGCTGGGGCGGAAGCTGGAGGAGTTTGTGACGGCGCAGCGCACCGCCATCACTCTGGGCGGCGCCTGACCCACAAAGAGGCGCTGCATTGGTCTCCTAGGCTCTCGGAAGCTGATGGCTGACAGGTCGCAACGGCCTCACTCGTGACCACGGACTGATCGGTGCAACAGCTGAGGCGGCCCACATGCCTTCCCTCTGCATGCATCCTGCTCACCCCTGTACTTGATACAGACATTAAGAGACCTGACCCGTTTTGTCATTGCATGACTCCCCTGCACTCTTCCATTCAAACAATCACTCTGACCAATATACGTCCAATTGGCGGCGTCGGCAGGGCCCTGGCCGCCGCATGGCCGCCCAGAGCACCACACATCAAGCAGATGCCACACCAGCCTCCTCTGGCAGCGCCTTGCCTGTGCCCAGGCAGTTCAGGCAGCGCTGTTTGGCAGTGGAACCACAGGCGGGACAGACGCAGAGGACCTGAGGCTCGGGCTGTGTTGCGGCACTTTGGGCCTGTTGCTGCTTGAGCGAGCGTGCGGAGACCGGTGCTCTACACAGCATCAGCTTCTCGCCTGCGCAGCGACAGGGGAGCATGAGCAGGCTAGTTCGAGTCCTGACCAACCGTCAGTACCATGTCCATGAGTCCTCACCGTGGCAGATGTCACAGGAGCGGTACCCAGTCGCTCTGCATGGCTGACAGGCCACGAGCCGCTTGGCCTGCAGGGGTGATGTACTGGAGTTCGAGGTGATGCGAAGAACACTGGATGTTTCATGCGTCGTGGAGTCATGCAACTTGCCTGCCGGTGCTTCACTACAGCTTTGACGGCGTGGAGGCCGACGCTGCTGACCAGGAGAGTTGCACCTCCCACACACACCAGGGTGCCCACGCCAGTGCCCAGCGACACCGCGAGGGATGATCTCCACATTTGAGGGAGCTGAGAATCAACGTGCTAAACACCGCATGTTGCCTTGAACACTGGAATGGGTGGGTATGCGGATGACTTGCGGGGTAGTGACCGAGATGTCGGTCTTACACGCTCGGGGCCTGCAGTCTTTGCTCCCCGGTAGATGATACCTCAGTCCGCCATGTACGTGCTAAATTGGAGCCTCAATGCTTCGATGATGGAGTCGTGACAGAGATCGTGTGCTCATCTGCCTCGCATGTGGAGGTCGGTCGGTGTTCCGTGTCTGGGCGCGCAGATCTGAATTGAACGCTTCCTCCGGGCGGCCAGACCTCCGCCTACCAGCTCCTCTCATGCACCGCTCGCTTGACTGCTTGAGCAGCTAGTAAAACACAGAGAGGAGGCTCCAGGGAACTAGGCCACTAGATTTGCCATTGTCATTGCTCGCGCGAGGCCTGCCGCAGTGGTCCCTGGCTGGTGTTCAACCTGAAATCCCCGGCCTCCTCGACGAGCGCCGAGGCTGCTGGGACGGCAATGGCAGGGTCCCCGGGTCCTTCGTTTTTTGAACGACATGACAACGTCTACCTCTACGTCCCGAATCTTATAGGTGTGGGCATTCCTCTGGTCAGCGGTCACACAGTGTCTGAGCTCCGGCCCAGTCGCCCCACTCCCCCCTCCCTTGCTCACTCCTATCCCCCAGGGTATGCTCGCATTGCCTTTGCTCTGTATGGATTCGCTGTGGCGAGCACCTCTCCAGGGGCCATGGTATTGTCCTATGCCCTCAGCTTTGTGTGTGATGAACTGGACGGCCGTTTCGCTCGAATGCTGAATCAGACCTCCACTCTGGGCCAGGTTCTCGACATGGTGACGGACAGGTGCGACAGTGTTTTTACCATGAGTTGCGATCGGCAGAATGGGAGTTTGCGGGGGAGGAAAGGATGTGTGCATGGGCGCCAGAGTATGCAGCTTTGCAGAACTCTGTGATAGGTTGGGCAGACCATACAACAGCGGCAAAGTAGCACTCGTCTGCGCCGTGCTTATATCCTTCCGCCCTGTGGCTACTGAGGCATGGCCCTGCTGATTTTCACGCACCCGCTCTCTCACACAGAGTGGCCACGAGCTGCCTGCTGGCCACGCTCTGCATGCTGTTCCCGGCCTGGCACCTGGCCTTTGTGGTGCTCCTGGGGCTGGACATCTTCTCACACTGGTTCCAGATGTACTCCACGCTGGCCTGCGGCGTGAGCAGCCACAAGGTGGGAGGGCCTTGGGGAGGCGGGCTGAAGTGTGCGGTGAAACAGGGGCTGGGTAGTGGGGAAAAGGCATCGCATGGGGGTGCACCCTGCTCCGAGTGCACACCCGTCGAGCTCATCTTCGGGACACACATATACTGTGGGGCACTCATGCATGCTGGTTTCTCTCTTCAACCTCACCACCCTCTTCAATCGCTCTATTTCCAGGACACGAATTCCAGGAGCCGGGTGGTCCGCTTCTACTACCAGCAACGCCTGTTCATGGGTTTCTGCTGTGTGTGCTGTGAAGTGCTGTACCTATGCCTCTATCTACTTGCCTGGCCGCAGTACCGCGCCTGGGGAGTGCTGCCCCTGCCCCAGACATGGTTGCAGCTGGGCGGGAGCGCAGGTGGGCGTGCACCTTCGGGCGATGGCCCTGCTCTCTGTGGGGTTTTGGGTGCCCTGCAGCATGCGCACATCGCGCATACCCAGACAGCTTGCACAAGGCTTCCGTCATCAAGGGTGCACCAAGTCCCGTAAACCCGCCACCCCCCCCCGCCTCTATGCACAGGCGTGTGCTCCGCTGAAGCACGAGGCATCCCGCTGGTGGCGCTGGTCGCCTTGGCTGCGCTGCCCGGCGTCGCAGTGAAGCAGTTTGTGAACGTCGTGCAGCTGGGGAATGCCATGACCACCCTCGTCCAGCTGGACACAGCAAAGAGGCAGTGATGGAGCTGCCAGTAATTTTGATACTGATCACTGTCCTGCCTGCCCACCCAGGCATATGGCCATGTTATTGCGGTGGCAATGCGCCCTTGCACAGCTACTCCTCCGCGATGCCGTGGGAGCTCACCCCCAATGTCCTCCAAGATATTGTATATCTCTGCGCTGATTAGGGCCAGTCTGATTGCAGGGCAAGGTGGAGCGGTCGACATGGGAGATCAAGCACAACAGGTGTGTGTCCAGATGCAGCGGAGCCTAGTAGCCGGGGAGGGGTGGGGCGGTGGGCGCATACTGCGAGTCAAAGTCCTGCACCGCCGCATCCTCCTCCTGCTTCAGGAACCTGGTGCGGGGAGGGCATTGAGTGGGGCTGGGACCGGGCTTCAATGAGCAGATAGCCAAGCAGGCAAGCTTTCGATACAGTGAGTTTCATCATCTTCCTAGTCTCCATTGGAAGTTGCCGGATACAACAGGCTCCCGAGCCATTCAACTCACTTGTTTGCCGTCCGCAGCAACCAGTTGCCGAAGAGAATGGCCACGAAGTGGGCCATCAATGTGTTGGTGCTAGCCTGGGATAGAGGACAGCCAGGATTTTAGGAGTAAGAGTCAGCCCTGGTTAGCAGGTAGAGAGGAGGCATCGATGCTGCGGCAGGCACTGCACTACCATAGATTACAGTCCAGGCTCTAGCACACCATGGCCCACCTGGATCGAAAAGACATCCAGCGCAACGGGAGGGGGTGCGGGGGTCCGGTATGCATACCCAGCCGCAGAGGCGGAGGTCAGTGTCTTGCCCACCAGGCCACCGATGGATGCCTGGAGTAAGAGGGAGGGTGGACCAAGACGTAGAGCTCTGGGAATCGTGTGAAGACACGGCATGAAACGACAAAAACATGCCTTGCAAGGAGACTGCCAGTGATGTTAAGGCATGAACCTTTCCCCAAACACCATGGGACACTCCCATGCCATGCAGGCACCTGCAGGCCGAGAATGGTCGCCCCCATGCCAGCGAGATTCAGGACTCCATTGGTCAGAATCGTCGAGACGACGCCCTGAAGCTTTACTTCCTTTTCAAGTTGGGAGATGAGGCAGTGGCTGTGAGATGTAGACACGGATGCAACAAGTGTTTCTTTGGTGCTAAGAAATCCCGTTGGTAGCTCGAACAAAGCTGGATATCTGTGCATCCCCTCCCCTCCACCTCCCTCACACACACACACACCTTGAGCTGGCCAAGCTTGCGTCCTGCCCGGATATAAGTCCACGCAAGGAAGGTTGAGATCATACTCGTCACCAGGCCCCCCAGCGTGCACACATCAATGAAGGACAGCTCCGTGGGATTCTGCAACAAGAGAGAAGGCCTGGGCATCTCAATGGCAGGGTCGAGGGCATCATGGGGTGGGGCCGGCTTGGCTCAGGCCACTTTTAAGAAGAGCAGACACAGGAAAATCACCCGTCATTATATAGGCTGTACAGCATGACGCTTTGTCACCTGGGAGATGATACCAGTGGAGAAGATGAGGATTCCAGAGGCCACGATTGTGAGGGTGAGCTGTGCCCAGAAGGAGAGCCAGCCGATGTTGCGCAGCGCAGTTCCCATCTGAAGGGATGGAAGAAAGGGTCGGGTGGGGCAAGAAACGCAGGAGTGGCCATGGCAACTGGATCGTATCCTCCACAGGCAGATGCTCTGCAATCACTCACAGCGAGGGCGTTCTTGGCTGCAGCGCTGACGGGCATGGCCGGCTGTCCCTGAATGTCTCCCACTTGCTGGCTGGGCACTCGTTGCCCAGGCCCCTGCTGGCCCGCCACTTGCTGGCCTGACGTGTTGAGGATGAGGCTGTAATGGAGTTGCGGTCCACAGCCACTGCTTGCCACATGTAATCCATGATGTGGCATGCCTCTAACTCACCTCGGTAGATGGGGGGGTATCCTCCCGCACCATCACCCTTGTAGGGCTGCTGGGGATTCCGTGGCACAGAGGCTCTGACTTGTAACCCTTGGGAATGCTGCACAGGTGAGGGGGAGCAGTCTAGGGGTGAGAAATTGGGCCATGGCATCCGTATTCTGTCCTGGATGGTGCATTGACGGGATCCAGCGTTGTTACAATGGCCTTGAAGCTATACCACTTTCCATGAGTGCCTAGCGAGGAATGGGCTCCCTCCCTACCTTGTTAGAAGCAACCCTCCTTCCCAGCGGCTGGATGGGTTTGAATTGCTTAAAATACCCGCCGGTAGGACATGATGCCACTCGCAGGCTTGCCGATGGCCTCGTGAGCGAGGCTTGCGCGTTCATGATGACCGTGCACTCAGGATGAGCAGCGTTCGCTGGCTTCGAGGCCGGTCGAAGCACTCAAATAGATGGGATGTGCGATTATGTTGTAAGAAACACTTATCATAGTGTGAGTACCCCGGCCTTCTGTTTGGCGCCAGCACTCATCATTGAGGGGGAGCTTAAATGTTGAAGGCGGAAGGTGGTGCGCAGGTAGACCGATCGGCATGGTCTTGCTGTGAAGGTGACCCTCACAGAGATCAATGCATGAGTCTTCAGCCTGCAGCAAGGATGAGCCGCTCACTGCCGGTTAGCATATTGCAACCAGGAACAGGCCAGATCCAATGGCATGCAGGTGGTTTTGGTGGGGTTATTCGAGGAGTTCGCTGGGACGAGTGCTTGACCTCATGTGCTACTCATGAAGTATACGACTTGAAACGCCTATGAGTCGACATGGTACACTTCTGGTCATGGAAGATGGCTACGAGTTCTCAAATCTTTGCGTCCCCATGATGCAGGGATTCATGTGCAGCACACTCATAAAGGATGAAATGCATCACTCCATGCAGCAAGGAGAGGTTACCACCACAACTCGGCAGATTTCAATACGTAGAATCAGCATTTGGCCCAAAACACTAATAACTTCCACGTGATGGTTTGTCTCTCAAGGCAATCTTGCACCAAGTGGGAGCTCACAGGGGTCGTTTTGGCGGGAGGCAAGGCTCGATCGGAATGGCTTCGCCAAACACCCAGCTCGTTGAGAGCCTGGCCCCGATTCCTCACAGGAGGAGACGGTCGCTCGAGATCATATATAGATTGCTGACCAGTGAAGCTGGTGGGAGTGCGTTGCCACATCTGGAGCCTGTCAGGGATGAGTTGCTGAAACCTTTCGCACACTGCTAGCGTGAGCCTGCGCCTGCGCCCATGGCGGGTGTCCAGCCCCGCCGTGCTGAGGATGTGGCACGCAGTAAACAATATGATTACAAAGCGGTGGGTTCAAGGAGCTTGTGCAGGGAAAGGACGGTGCCGCTGGTTGTGAAGTGATGGTTCGCCTCCTTGTCGGAAATCATCGAAAGTCCTCTACCAGGAGTGTCACTGCGCACTTCATACGTATCCAGTAGTGGTATTGTGCTGGTTGATGCAAATGAGCACCTGCCCAGGGCTGCCCTTCGGCACCTCAACCCCACCCCCACCCCCCCTTTACTGCCACAGAACTCAAACTTGGTCCTGACAGCCGAGCAGCGCACCACCGTCGGTCATGAGCCGGATGGATCCGCAGAGACCCTGTGGGGCAACATGCGGGGCAAGATGGGGGACAAGGTGCAGCGCGGCCTCCCCGAGGGCCTCGCAGAGCGCAAGGCCAAGCGTGACGCCACGGCCGGCGACGGCGCCGGAGCCAAGCGGCGGAGGGTGCGTTTGATCGAGACAAAGGAATTTCAAGAGTCTGGGGAAGTTCCAGCTTTGGCCTTGCTCAAATATTTAGCTGCGAGATGACCTGCATCTCACTCCTCACGCCACCACACCCTCCCTTTTCACGCAGGCCCCCACTGCCGCCTCGGTGCTGGAGGTGGAGACCGCGGGCCTGTACCGCCCCCGCACCGAGGAGACGCGCATGGCCTACGAGGCCCTGCTCTCCGTCGTGGTGGACCTGCTGGGCGGGCAGGAGGAAAGCGTGCTGCAGGGCGCCGCTGACGAGGTCCTGGCCGTGCTCAAGAACGACCGGCTGCGGGTGAGTTGGTGTTCTGGATTGGCCGGGACGGCAGCTGCGCCGGTTGGCGAGGGAGCGTGGGGAGGGACCCTGCTCATGCATTACACATGGAAGGGGCCTGCCCAGGGGCGCTGGGCTAGGGTGCCGGACGCAGTTCCCATGTCAATCGCCAGGGGTGTGCATCGAATGCGGGCCGGACCCCACCATCATGTTCAAACCTGCCTCCCACCCAACCTTCCCCTCCGCGCCAAAACCCTCCCCCCCCAAAAATAACACAACAGGACCCGGAGCGCCAGAAGGAGCTGGGCACGCTGCTGGACAGCCCCGTCAGCGACGAGCGCTTTGCGCTGCTGGTGGAGCTGGGCAAGCGCATGAAGGACTGGGCGCCCGAGTCGGCCGCGCTGGCGGCGGGCAGCGGTGAGGCCGCGCTGGACGAGGAGGGCGTGGCCGTGGAGTTTGACGACGAGTCTGACGAGGACGAGGGCGAGGAGCTGGTAGACGTGCTGGATGACGACGAGGAGGAGGGCGGGGATGCCGAGGATGAGGCCGGCGGGTCGCGCGCCGGCGTGCGCACCGGCGGCGTCGACGTGGACGCCGGTGAGGAGGAGCGCGCGTCGGGCATCCCAGTGCAGGACATCGACGGCTACTGGCTGCAGCGCCGCGTGGCGGGCGCGCTGCCCACGCTGGAGCCCGCTGCGGCACAGCGCACCGCCGACGAGCTGCTGGAGGCGCTGGCGGCGCCCGACGCGCGCGAGGCCGAGAACCGCGCGGTCGCGTTGCTGGGCTTCGACGCCTTCGGCCTGATCAAGGAGCTCCTGCGCAGCCGCGCGGCGGTGGTGTGGTGCACGCGCCTGGCGCGCGCACAGGACGACGCGGAGCGCGCGGCGCTGGAGGCGCGCATGGGCGAGGGCGGCGAGGCCAGCGCGGCCGTGCTGCGCGCGCTGCGCGCCACGCGCGCCACACCGCGAGAGCGTCAGGAGGCCGCGCAACGCGCGCTGCGCGAGGAGGCGCGCCGCCTGGCGAAATCGGGGGGCGAGGGTGCGGATGGCGGGGAAGGCAGCGACGACGACGACCTGAATCCTGGCGGCGCCGGCCGCGCGGGTACCAACGGAAAAAGCGGTGCGGCCGCCGCGGCGCGCAAGGCGCTGGACCTGGAGGCGCTGGCCTTCCCCGGCGGCGGTCGGTTCAACTCCGCGCGCTCCACCACGCTGCCCCCTGGGTCGTACCGCACGGTACAGAAGGGGTACGAGGAGGTGCACGTGCCTGCGCCCGCGGCGCCGGCCTTCGCGGAGGGCGAGTCGCTGCACGCCATCTCCAGCCTGCCCGCCTGGGCGCAGGACGGCTTCCGTGGCATGAAGGAGCTGAACCGCATCCAGTCGCGCGTGCTGGACGCCGCGCTGTTCAGCGGCGAGAACATGCTGGTCTGCGCGCCCACCGGCGCGGGGAAGACCAACGTGGCCATGCTGGCCATGCTGCACGAGATCGGGCTGCACCGGCGCCCAGACGGCTCCATCGACACCGCGGCCTTCAAGATGATCTACGTCGCGCCCATGAAGGCGCTGGTGGCGGAGATGGTGGGCAACTTTGCCAAGCGGCTGGAGCCCTACGGCGTGAAGGTCAAGGAGCTGACGGGGGACATGGGACTGACGGGGGCGGAGATCGCAGAGACCCAGCTCATCGTGGTCACGCCGGAGAAGTGGGACGTGGTCACGCGCAACGCGGGCGAGCGCGCCTACACCCAGCTCGTGCGCCTGGTCATCATCGACGAGATCCACCTGCTGCACGACGACCGCGGGCCCGTGCTGGAGTCCATCGTCGCCAGGACCCTGCGCCAAGTGGAGGTGCTCGATGGTGCTGGCGTCCTGGCTGTCATTGCCGGCACACCTGACATCAGAAAGCACCTCGTGCTGCTCCCAGCCGATTCCCCTTCCACCCTCTTCCACGCTCCTCACACCCCCACCCCCCACCCCCACCCTACACACGCAGGCCACCCAGACGCAGACGCGGCTGGTGGGCCTGTCGGCCACGCTGCCCAACTACGAGGACGTGGCGGCCTTCCTGCGCGTGGACCCGGCCAAGGGTCTCTTCTATTTTGACAACTCGTACCGCCCCTGCCCCCTGGCCCAGCAGTACATCGGGGTGACGGTGAAGAAGCCGTTGCAGCGCTTCCAGGCCATGAACGACATCACGTACACCAAGGTGATGGAGGCGGCGGGGAAGCACCAGGTCCTGGTCTTCGTGCACAGCCGCAAGGAGACGGCCAAGACCGCCGCGCACCTCAAGGAGGAGGCGCTGCGCAACGACACGCTGGCGCGCCTGCTGCGCGACGACTCCGCGTCGCGCGAGATCCTGCAGACCGAGGCCGCGGGGGTGAAGAGCGCGGAGCTGCGCGAGCTCCTGCCCTATGGCTTTGGCATCCACCACGCCGGCATGACCCGCGCCGACCGCACCCTGGTGGAGGACCTGTTTGCCGACGGCCACATCCAGGTCTGGGTTGTTGGGGGTGGGGGTGGGGTGGGGGGAGTTGACGCCCCAGAGGTGCTTGGGTGAGACGGGGAAGGAGGGGCCTGACCAGCCCAGGTGTTTCGGGGCCTTGCAATGCCCAAAGGGCCTGCTCGTCCACCCCTGGTTGTTTCTTCCGCCCCAAATCATCCCCCCAACAGTCATCCACACACACACAAACACCCAGGTGCTGGTCTCCACCGCGACGCTGGCCTGGGGCGTGAACCTGCCCGCCCACACCGTCATCATCAAGGGCACCCAGATTTACAATCCGGCCAAGGGCGCGTGGGTGGAGCTGTCGCCGCTGGACGTCATGCAGATGTTCGGGCGCGCAGGGCGGCCGCAGTACGACACCTACGGCGAGGGCATCATCATCACGGGACACAGCGAGCTCCAGTTCTACCTGTCACTCTTCAACATGCAGCTGCCAGTGGAGAGCCAGTACGTGGCCACCATCCCCAACAACCTCAACGCCGAGATCGTGCTGAGCTCCGTGACAAACCTGAACGAGGCCGCGGCCTGGCTGGGGTACACGTGAGTTTG